TCCCCGCAGGTGCTGCCAAGCCCACGACTGCTGCTACAGGAGGCTGAGGGAGGGCAGCTGCAGCCCCCTGATCACCCCGTACAGCTTCACTGCCAGCCACGGGAACATCACCTGCAGTGAGTACGGACTGGGCAGTGGGCAGCAGCACCGCCCCCAGACCCATCCCAATCCTATCCCCATTCCCAACCCAGTCCATCCCCATCCCATTTCCCAATCCCATCCCCAGCCCCATCCCCATTCCAGTTCCCATCCCCACCCCCATCCCAGTCCCATCCCCATTCCATTCCCCATCCCCATCCCAGTTCGAGCCCCATCCCAGTCCCATTCCAATCCCAGTCCTCATCCCCTCCCCCATACCATCCCCATCCCCATCCAAGCCCCATCCCCATCCCAGTCCCCATCCCAGTCCCATCCCCATCCAAGCCCCATGCCCATCCCCATCCCTATCCCATTCCCAATCCCATCCCAATCCCCATCCCAGTTCCCATCCCCATTCCAGTTTCCATCCCAGTTCCCATCTCCATCCTAGTCCCCCATCCCCATCTCCATCCCCATCCCAGTCCCATCCCCATCCCAGTCCCATCCCCATCCCCGAGCAGGGCACACACGGGAGCATCCCCAGCTGAATCCAGCCCCGTTCCCGCCCGGCTGTGCTGATTAAACGGGCACTGAGGGTGTGTGCAGGGTGAGTCCCGGCACACGCTGCTCTCTCCCCTTGCCCGGGGGGATAAAGGCACCGCAGGGCCCCGTGCTGCCCCCGCAGGTACCGAGCAGAGCTGGTGCCAGAGGGAGACCTGCCTGTGCGACACCGCGGTGGCCTCGTGCTTCGCCAGCTCCCTGCCCTCCTACAACCACTCCTACCGCTTCTACTTCAAGCTCAAGTGCCAAGGCAGCAAGCTCCAGTGCTGAGGAGGGCGAATCTGCACACAGAGCTCCAGGTTTTGCTTTTCCCCAGCAAGAAAAGCTCGGGCTTGGGGCTCACTAAAGGCAGAGCCCCCGAGGCTCCCTGTGAGTGCAGCTCGGGGTGAGAAGAGCACACACACCATGGATGGAGAGCCACCAGTTCCTGGAAAGACACACCAGCTTCCTCTTTTGTGTCCCTTCCTCTTCTCTTGATTTCATTTCCCAGCAAAGATAACAGATACAATAAAAGGGATGCAAACTGGTTCTCCATGGTGTTTTTCTGTAAGGGCTGCTGAGATTGAGGCACTGCAATGGCGGCTGCTGAGTTTGGGGAGCACTTCTGCATCCCTCAGCCACACCATGTCCTGACACCCCAAAACTGCCATGGGCTATAATTCACACACCTATCCCAATGTGAAGATAGAAGTTTGGGGAACAGAGTGCCCAAAGAAGCTGTGGCTGCCCCTGGATCCCTGGCAGTGCCCAAGGCCAGGCTGGACAGGGCTTGGAGCAGCCTGGGACAGTGGAAGGTGTCCCTGCTCATCCCACTGGATGAGCTTTAAGGTCCCTTCCAACCCAAATCCCAATCTGGGATTCCTTGAATTTCTAATTCCCAGCTCAGAGGGCACATCCCAACAGCTTTGTGAGGAACGCTAACAGAACAGTCCCAGGAATGCAAGAAGAGGCTTCACATCACAGCGATTTCTAAGCTGGATGTCATTTTTCTGTTCCTCTTGTCCAGCCTGAAGCACAGCTCAGCACAGGGAGAAGCTCACGGGAGTATCCCCAGGATCTTCTGGGATGTTTGGCTTGTGGCACGTGAGGATTTTACTAGCAATGACACAACTGCTCTTCGATATCTATTTCCTGCTATAAACAATTCCATATAAAGCATTTCATAGAAACACATTTTGTTATGCAAACACACTAAAAGAGGAAAAACAATGTGAGTATATAAACTGACTGCAAATGATTAATGTGGCAGTAATTAGCCAGAGGAGCATTAATGGGCTGTGAGCAATTCAGATAAGCACAAGGCACATGCCAGCCAGGGAGCATCACTCGTGACACCAGAGACAAAGCGGAGCCGGAATCAGGGCTTGGCTGAAAACGTTGTCAGTGGAGGACAACAAAAAACTGTTTTTCCAGCACAAAAGACAAAAGGCAGACAAGTCACCTTCCTTCCTTAAGTCACCTCCCAAACCAAATCAGTCTGGGATTCCGTAACTCTTGGAAATAAGGGTTAAAGAATAATCATCCACAGAGGAAGGAAGATTTCAAAGCCTTGACCACATACACTAGACAAGTTCTAAATTAGGAGGGCAGTTGATGACTGAATCGTTTCTGCAGAAGGGTGTAATGAGGGGGTGGGAAAACCTCAAGGAGAGAAATAAAGGGAAGTTGGGCTTTCTCACCTCAGAAGATTAATTTTGCTTCTGTTTTCTCATGGTGAGTGAGAACCATCCAGTGTCTGCCCAGCCTCGTGACTCTGGGAACTGCACATTTAGAGATGGTTCCAGTATTGCCCACAGACTTTGCCCAAAGAAGTGATAACTCTCCTTGAGCCACCTTACACCTCCTTGAGCCACCTTACACCTCCTTGGAAGCCCCAAACTTGCTGTGTCCATGCCCAGCTTGAACCAGAGCTGCCCTTTTCCCCCTGATGTGGCTCCCTGGTGCTGGGAAGGGCAGAGGAGGAGCATCTCTGGCTGGTGCAGAGTGTGTTTGCTTCCTCCTCAGGCTGGAAGTGACGCTGCTTTTCCACCTCTTCCCACCCAGCACCCACCCGTGCGTGGGGTCCGGGGCTGGGGCCTCGGGGGATTTCTGGCATTCCTCAAAAGGGGAAGGATGGCACCTTCTCCTCTGCAGGGAAGCCCAGTCAGCGAGTTTTGGCTCAGGCAGATGGGAGCAAGCTATATAAAGCAAGCAGAGCTGGCTGCAGGGCACTGCAAGCCAGCAGGGCTTTCCCAGGGTAAGTGGGGATGGAGGATTGCTTTCCCTCTTTTCCTCCTTTCACCAGGAGCTGTGCAAGTGCCATGCTGGGAAGCAGGATTGAAGGAGATGCTGCTGAGATGCCAGCCCAGAAGAAGAGCAGCCCTTGAGGGCTGAACATCCCTCCAATTTTTCTCCCTTTCTCCTGATTCTGCTTTTCTCCACCTCTCCCCCATCTGATTCCCATCGCTTCCCATCCCTGATGCTTTGTACTGAGACAAGGGGGCATCTTTACCCCCTCATTGCTCCTACTCCCCAGAGAGAGGGAGAACCTCTGCTCCTGGATGATGAGGAAAGAAAGAAGGGGTTGGTATAACAGAGAATGGTTTGGTTTCCTCTCCCAGAGCCGTCAGAAGGATGAACTCTCTCCTCGGCCTCTCCGTGCTCTTTGTGTGGGGTAAGTGTCCTCTCTCAGTCCCAAGGCTCTCTGTGCACTTACATCCATTGAAATTGGGATCAGGCTGGTGATTTCTCCACCTCTCCCCATCACCAGCTCTGCAGACAACTCTCCCATGCCAAGCTGGGAGCACATTTCCTCTCTGTTGGGTTATAATTCCTAAGACATCCCCACCCTGGTGCCAGTGTGGGGGCTGGAGGGATGGAGCTGCTGTTGGGGGCCAGGGAATCAGCGTGGTCTCCCTGATTTCCCCCCTCCAGGCTTGTCCCCAGCCCACGGGAGCCTCCTGCAGCTGCACCAGATGATCTCAGAGGCGACAGGGAAAAACGCTTTTCTGTACTACGGCTTCTACGGCTGCTACTGCGGGCTGGGGGGCAGGGGGCAGCCCAAGGATGCCACAGACAGGTGAGAATCCACTTAAAAACCCCTGCACAGACACGTTCTTGAATATTTTTGAATCTGTGGCGTGAGGGAGAGAAAATGCCACTCCCTAAAGCTTCAATCTCCAGATGTTGCCAGCTGCACGATGCTTGCTACCACAGCCTCCTGAGGCACGGCTGTGATGCCAAGGCACGCTCCTACTACTACAGCTGGCACCACGGCAGGCTCTCCTGCGGTGAGTACGGCCCTGGAAGAGGGGGTTCCATACCCCCAAAGCCGGGGCTGACCCTGGGCTCCCCCTGTCCCGCAGGGCAGGGCTCCCGGTGCGACTTCTTGTCCTGCGAGTGCGACCGCAGCCTGGCGCTGTGCCTGAGGAGAAACGCCCGGAGCTACCAGAGACGCTACAGGTTCTACCCCAACTGGCTGTGCCGGTGATGGGAGCTGGGATGCGGCCCCGAAACGCCAGGAGCCACCAGAAACGCTACCGATTCTATCCCAACAATCTGTGCCCGTGATGGGAGCTGGGATACGGTGCGAGATCGCCCTCCATCCCTCTGCCTGTGCTGGCCACAACCAGAGCCGCTGTAAATTAAACCAGCGCGGAAATAAACAATGTTCTTGTTCAACGTCCCCGGTCCTCTGAGAGCTGCTGCTGCTGGGCAGGGAGAGAAATCCCCGTAAATAATCAACATCTTCCCAAAACTTTCCAAGAACTCGGGCTCGGCCCCTGCGTCACCCGCGGCAGAGGGGGCTGGCCGGGGGAAGGGGCGTAGCACTCCCGGCTTTGGGACGGACGAGTCCTCCTGGAGCTTCCAGTCGGGCTGCGCACGGAGGGCAGGCTCTGCCCGGCAGGACAGACGGACAGCGAGCAAGGGCCCCGGTGAGCAGTGCCCCCAACTCCGCTGCTGTGGGGAGAAAAATCCGGGGGGATGTAGGGAGGCGGCAGCGAGCGGCCCGTGCCGGTGGGAAAAGTGAAATCGCTTCCAAAGGCAAAAGGTGCGGGGCTGCCCTGAGCGGGGAGAGCTGCGCTGGATGCCAAAAGTGATGGGACGGGAGCTGGGAGGTGCTGAGGAGTGGCACAGGAGGTGAGAGATGCTGAGAGGTGGGACAGGAGCTGGAGGATGCTGAGGGGTGGCACAGGACCTGAGAGGTGGGACCGGAGCTGAGAGGTGCTGGAGGGGTGGCACAGGAGCTGGGAGGTGCTGAGGAGTGGGACAGAAGCTGGGGGATGCTGAGGGATGGCACAGGAGGTGAGAAGTGCTGGAGGGGGGGCACAGGAGGTGAGAGATGCTGAGGGGTGGGACAGGAGCTGGGAGATGCTCAGCAGGTGACACCACTCACTCTCGGCCAAGAGGCAGCAAGGCTGGTGCGAGGGGGCACAGCTGCTTTCCTCCCTCCAGATTTTGGGGTTGATCCGATTTCAGAGGAAGCTTCTCACGGCTGCTCCTATCAAACTCCACGCTGCCTGGCTGAGCCTGCCCCCTGTTTCTCCTCCCAGGCCCAGGTGAGAGGAAGATGAAGGTCCTGCTGGTGCTGACGATGCTGTTTGCCTGCAGTAAGTGCATCCCCGACCCACAGACGGGAGCCAGGCTCATCCCCAAACTCCTGTGCACTCCTCAGGGGGACTCCCAGCAAAGCCTCCTTCCCTCCCCAGTTCCCCAGGCCTCACAACTCATAACAGGCACATAACTCACAAAAAAACAAATCACATTTTACGGTCACTCTAGGTGTGTTCACAGCGCACGGGAAGCACCCACGTCCGTTCACACCGGGACTCGAGGGAAGCACCGTGGGAAACCTGACTGCGCATGGATGCTACAGGGGATGGGGCACCTCGAGGGCTTCGGTGGATCGGTACAGGCAACGCTGCCCCAGAGGGCTAACGCTGCTCCAGAGGGCTAACACCGGTCCCACAGGGCTAACGCTGGGTAACCCAGGGGCTCTGCACCACCCCAGCAGCCCCCGCTGAAGCTTTGCAAAATGCAGACCGGGTGCTTGGCAGCAGCAGCAGGAAGGCATCGGGTTTTGGGGAAGCAGGGAAGGTGATGCAGGGCTCACCCCTAACTCCATCCCGGAGAGGGTGTGCCCGGTCCGTGGGATGGCACCAGAGCAGGGGGACGTTCCTGGAGCCGGGATGCGGGGCAGGGCTTGCAGGGGGGAGCAGAGGCTTGGCGTGGGAACGGGCAGGACAGAGGAGGCTCTGGGCGATGCAGAGCAGGAGGAGGCAGAGCTGGCAGAGCCTGTGTCGGCAGCCGGTGCCACACGCAGGAAATGGATTTCTCGGCTGTCCGGGTGCCACGCTCCCGACGAGGCCGGGC